TTTTACACCTGTATAAGTTGAGATACTTACCAAGCAAAATAATTGCTATCGTAAATTTCATGGTCGCAGGCCGCTTGTTTGCTAAGAGTGTTCTACTGACTGGACGACAAGTAGCTGTGCTGATAGGTGTAGTGTTTCGCACGCACTCTCGCTTTGAGTCTTATACCTGTGTACGTGTAGCCATGGCGATTCCGGCAATTGTGATTTTCACCAATCAAACAAAACTCATTTGATCCCTGTCAGGACATTGTCACACACACCCTCTCTCTCCCTCCCTCCGCGCGCACCCCCGCCCCCTACCAGACATTGTTTGTTTATCGCAAAGTATACAAGAAATTGGTAAATATTTTGGTAGGAAGGAGGTCGTGCATTAAATTCAAAGCAATATAAAATTAAAAGAAAGACAATATGTTTTTAATTCAGTAAATTAAAGCTCACATTTGCCTTATATGTCCGTGCTTATCAAGCTCAGATATATCAACCGACATCAAATGATAGACGTATATGAAATGTCACTTTCACTCACACTGACAAACATTTCATTCGTCCGATAGGCAATGAATGGTCAATGCTGCTAACAGTAAACCGTTAACAGTTAACAGAGGCTACTCATATACAGTACAACCAGAAATTATTGAGAATTTAAGATTGTAATTTTTGTAAACAAAAATCACTCATTACTCACGTATTAAATGTGAATATTAGCAGAACATAACTCCAGATTCAAAGACAGGTGAACAGTTAGTATTTTGTCAAGTCACCATGGGCAGCAATGCAGTCTTCAATGCGGCGGGGCATACTACTGATCAAAGAAGTAAGAAAGTCGTGGTCCATGCTGTCCCAATATCGGACCACCTCTTCTTTCATTTCAGAAATATTTGTCAGAGTTTTCTTATTGACACTCTCCTTCATAAGTCCCCAAACATTTTCTATTGGATTTAGGTCAGGGCTATAGCTTGGCCAATCTAATAATGTCATATTTTGGGTCCGAAACAAGGCCTGTGAATGCTTTGAACGATGTTTTGGGTCGTTGTCCTGCTGGAAAATCCAAAATTTTCCATAGAACACGTGAGCAGATGGAAGTAAATGTCCCTCGAGAATATATGTGTACCGCTCACTGTTCATATTCCCTTCAAATACACAGAGGGGCGTTGCCCCTAACACAGATATGCCACCCCACACGTTAAATTTCGGACTGTACTCTGGGCGCTGATACAAAGGTTTTTCAGTTTGTTTGGTCCAGAATTTCAGTGTATTAGGAAACAGCCACACAGAACTTTCATCTGAGAAAATCACATTGTCCCAGTTAAAATCTCTATGCTGTAAGCTCAAGTTCAACCTTCGCTCCTTTTGTTCAGGTTTCATGATCGGTGATGGATTTCCTCGACTTTTTCTTCCAACCCATTGCATGCAGCTTAGTTCTCATTGTCTTCTTACTTCAGCCACAGTTCCTCTATCAATCATATCCAGCCTTAAGTTTTCCAAACTCCTTCGTTTCTTTTTAGAAACAAGAATACCAAGCCGCCCCCTGTCAACGACAGTCAATCTTCTGGGCCTACCCGCACCTCCCTGGTGCTCAATGCCATATCCATTTGCAATTTTTTTCAAAACACGATAAACAATGGACAAAGGGATTCCTGTTCTACTTGAAATCACTTTAGCTGGTCTGATGTCCTTGTTATTATACTCTAAAATCAACTTCCTCTTCTCTAAATCATCCATACTGAGGATCACTGAAAATGTCGTCTGTTAGCAAGTAAACAAAGGGGGATAACTCTTCACAAACTAATGAAAAAGGATTAACTGAGTTGTCTCTCTTTAATGAAACCAAGCACTTGATAGCTGGTCAAGGTTGTTTAAACTAGAATTCCAATTTAACATATTCCTAAATTCCCAATAATTTCTGGTCATACTATACAAACATAATACAAACACACACAACCCACCCCACCCCACCCCATCCCTACACCGACTCATTTTGATTGTATTAGGCGTATGCGTTTGGCTTACCAATCTAGCATTCATGTGCTCGTATTATTCAGATTATATTCATATATATCAGTTTTTTTATGTATTGTTATTTCGGAGGCAAAGGGTCGGTCAACGGATTTCTCATACACAAGATTTACAAGTTTGTTTTGGAGAACGTACAAACCTGTCTCCTAAAGCTGAAACCTAAAACATAAGTCACCTCCTATATGTGCACATGCTTTATGTGTAAACAACCCCGTGGCTTTCTCTCGTATGTATGGCGCAATGTACAGTCACGCTATAGAACAGCAGTTGCCCTATAAAACACTTTCAAAAGCGCCCTGCCTGTCAAAATTTCTTGATTAAACCATTCATTCTCTGAAGCAGAGTCCATTTTGCAATTCACTCCTTGGTATGAACATGTTTTAAGGGATCACTATATAAAAGGGATGATATCAATATCAATTCAAACCTGTCGCATCCGCCACAATCAAATACAACAACACGTCAATTTCTTTTCAGCTGCCACACTTATTCGTCATACTGATTGCATCAAATCTATAAATGTCGTTCACATGACTGTCATTAATCTTACTGAAAACTTTACTGAGGCCATGAATGTTGCTGCCGGTGGGGAAGGCTCTTGGAAATCAAGGTGGAAAGTATTTATTTATTTATTTGTTGATTATATATTAGTTAGTTAGTTAGTTAGTTAGTTTACAGACAGACAGACAGGTCTATTTCAGTAACTGACTACTGGCCCAGAATACATACATTGATGATTTGTTTCCTTGGGCAAGACTATATAATCCATATGAACACACCAGTCATTTAATGTATTTTTGTTTGTTTAAAGGGTTGTAAAAGCCGTCTACGTGTGTAGAACTTCAGGTGTCAAAAAGCATGAAAAAAGTAAGTTTTTACTTAGGTAAGTAAAAGACGACATTGTGAATCGGGTGGTCAGACAAGATAATAATAATAATTGGCCAATTCTAAGCGCATACAACATGATGGACACTATCAACCCGGATAACCCAAGCTGCCCGTGGGGCGCTAGAAGGTTAATAGTCAAATGACTTATACCACCGGGTACCCATTTTCTGCTGGGTGAACCGAGGCAATTTTGAACAAACTCACTTAGGTGAGACCATACTAGAAACTCTCTGGTATCAACCTGCCAAACACAGTCACCTATCCAAGACTCTCCGTGACCAACGTTGCTTAAGTTCACCTGATTTGTTGCCTGCGCTCTATGCATAAGGTCACACAGCACCACTTAAATAACACCGTGTCATAATGCATGGACTGCGCGTCGATGCTCATTATATTAATCACTTGTTTGTATGGTCAAAAGGGGCTGTTGAGTAGCCCGGTGGTTAAAGCGTTGGCTCGTCACGCCGAAAACCCGGGTTCGAATCCCCACATGGGTATGTGTGTGAAGCCCATTTCTGTTGTCCCCCTCCGTGATGTTGCTGGAATATTGCTAAAAGCGGCGTAAAACCAAACTCAGTCAGTCAGTCAGTTGTATGGTCAAATATTTACCATAGGAACAATGCTGAACTGGATGGGACATACTGAGCACAATAATAACGAAAGACGCGACTTGAGTACACCCAGTATCCTGTCTACCCGTGAAGATCAGGGTTAGAATTGATCTTCAGCAACCCATGCTTGTTGTTAGAGGCGACTAACGGGATCAGGTGGTCAGGCTCTCTGACTTGGTTGACACAAGTCATCGTATCCCAATTACGTAGATCGATGTTCATGCTGTTGATCACTAGATTGTCTGGTCCAAACTCGATTATTTACAGACCGCCGCCATATCGCTGGAATATTGCTGAGTGTGGCGTTAAACGACAACATTAAATCAATCAATCAACGTATGTGGAATTTCAGTACTCTAACCTACACATATAAAATTGGATTGGATAAACGTACAAAGTTGAGATGAAGATCCGGGTTAGAATTGGTGGAACGTTTATTCTCCATTGTTTCTCAAAGGTTGTGAAATGTAGACACTAGCTGCAGAAACATTGACTGATTTTACAGGAAAGTTGCAAAATTGACCATTAAAAAGTTGAAGTCATAATCAAGTTAACATTTATATGCTTAAACACCTGTTCTTTTGCGTTTCGATAAAGACATTACTGAAGCAACTGCAGGAGCCTTGTCTCACTATCGTGACCCTTGACTCGCAGCGAAGAAGGCACTGGTGTTTGACTTCACAGTCTCGCATGTCCAGACTCATACACAAACCAACACGTGTCATCATGTGTATATCGAATGTACCCATCAACGCTGGTATTGACAAGCGTGTTGGGTTGCATTACACGTTTAAGTTGGAGACACGACCCACGTGGGCAAGCGTCCTTTAAACTCAAACAAGTTGAGTTGTTATTGCAGTGATCAACTTCACATTGCCACACCCATCGAAATACCAAAGAAAGTGTTGATTTTGTGATTGGAACGTATGTGACGAAATACTAAAAATAATGTTTGTACTTCTATTGCGCTTGTTTCCACATAAAAGATTCATGCTCAAAGCTCTGACATTATTTCCCCTGTCAATAGATGAACTCGATTTTCATTCTTACCATGTGGTGGTTAACAGCAAAATTAACATGTCATTCTACCGGGTACTCATTCACTGCAAGGGGAACAGAGGTACATTCCAAAGAAAGGCAATTGCCTGGAAAGAAAACATTTGCAGAGCTACTTGTTTCCGTGAGGGACAAGATAGAAGCCCAAGAAACTATAACTTGGACTGTTGAGGCCGTCGGTAATTGGGTACCGATGCCGATGCCGATAGTCTTTCAAAAGGCCATCAACTCTGTCTGCATCAGTACTTACAAACCCGTACAAGTGAGCGCAAAACTGCAAGTAGTTGACTGCCTGAAAAACAATTTTAAGGGAGTGGCAATGCCTTTCCTGCAACACTACAGACTCAAGTAACCTAAATTAGATTGAAATTGCAACACGAACGGTTGACCATTCAAAACAAACTACTAAATACAACAAAACAAAGTGAATTGGTAAAATAATCATTTTTATCAGAAAAAAAGACAACAAACGAACACGTCATCCCTCGAGTATGGTTTTACACTAAGAAAATGTTGCAGCAATCGGCATCCCAAAAGTGCTATTTATGACCTACATGTCAGGAAGCAAACCTCGTGTACCTACTTGGCCAACACATGGACAAAGAAGATGGTATGCATAGAATATTTCAGCAGTCTAACATACAACGAAAACAACACTTACTACCTAAGAACTCATCACATTTGAAATAAATTTTGCACAATATTATCAAGTGAACATTCATACATGTACACATCCAAATTATTCGATCATTTTAGGGGACAAAAACGTAAGCAAAAGTTTTACGATGCAAGGCGATAAAACACTGAGGAAAATAGGCCCTGAGTTGTTCTTAAACCAGCCTTTCGGATTAAAAGTGAGTTTTCATCAGTGTTACAACAACGGACAGGATGAGAGCCATGCTGGAGATGGTTGTGAGGCTGGCACCACCTGGAAATGAAAGAAAATCGCTAGAATCGATGTACATAAACGTCAGAAAAAGGTCAATTGCGAATTATATTTCAGGATCACAAAAAGACCGGAATCCAAAAAGAAAAAAACAGCTCAGTGAGTGAGTGAAGGTATATTATGTAAGGACAAGGGACAAGGACATTTCATGGGAAAATACGTGTACATCTCGCGTACCAGTGAATTCGAACGGCACAATGACAATAATATTAGAGTGAGTGAGTTTAGTTTTACGGCGCTTTTAGCAATATTTCAGCAGTATCGCGGCGGGGGACACCAGAAACGGGCTTCACATATTGTACCCATGAGGGGAATTGAACCCGGGTCTTCGGAGTGACGAGCAAACGCTCTACCCACTAGGCTACCACACCGTCCCCAATAATATTATAGCAGACAGCAAGACAATTAGATATTACAAGGCACGAATCTATGACATGACAAGGTTCTGTCACAGGACAAGTGACAATGCATTTAATGAATCACGAAGAACAAGACCATCTCAGGTGACAAGGGTATCTTAGAGGACAGACATCTCAGGGGATAAAGGCATTTTGGAGGACAGGGACACCTCAGGTAATAAGGGCATTTTGGAGGACAAGGACATCTAAGGTAATAAGGTCATTTTGGAGGACAAGGACATCTCAGGTAATAAGTGCATTTTGGAGGACAAGGACATCTCAGGTGATAAGGGCAGTTTGGAGGACAAGGACATCTCAGGTGATAAGGGCATTTTTTAGGACAAGGACATCTCAGGTGATAAGGGCATCTTTGAGGACATAGACATCTCAGATAATAAGGGCATTTTGGAGGACAAGGACATCTCAGGTGACAAGGGTATCTTGGAGGACAGACATCTCATGGGATCAGGGCATTTTGGAGGACAGGGACACCTCAGGTAATAAGGCCATTTTGGAGGACAAGGACATCTAAGGTAATAAGGGCATCTTTGAGGACAAAGACATCTCAGGTAATAAGGGCATTTTGGAGGACAAGGACATCTCAGGTGATAAGGGCATTTTGGAGGACAAGGACATCTCAGGTGATAAGGGCACCTTTGAGGACATAGACATCTCAGGTAAAAAGGGCATTTTGGAGGACAGTGACAGCTCAGGTAATTAGGTCATTTTGGAGGACAAGGACACCTCAGGTGATAAGGACATTTTAGAGGACAAGGTCATCTCAGGTAATAAGGGCATTTTGGAAGACAAGGACATCTCAGGTAATAGGGCATTTTGGAGGACAGGGACACCTCAGGTGATAAGGACATTTTGGAGGACAAGGACACCTCAGGTAATAAGGGCATTTTGGAGGATAGGGACATCTCAGGTAATAAGGCATCTTGGAGGACAAGGACATCTAAGGTAATCAGGGCATTTTGAAGGACAAGGACACCTCAGGTAATAAGGGCATTTTGGAGGACAGGGACATCTCAGTCAATAAGGGCATCTTGGAGGACAAGGACATCTCAGGTAATAATAAGGGCAGTTTCGAGACAGGGACACCTCAGGTAATAAGGGCATCTCGGAGGACAGGGACATCTCAGGTACTAAGGCATCTTGGAGGACAAGGACATCTAAGGTAATAAGGGCATTTTGAAGGACAAGGACACTTCAGGTAATAAGGGCATTTTGGAGGACAGGGACATCTCAGTCAATAAGGGCATCTTGGAGGACAAGGATATCTCAGGTTATAAGGGCATTTTGGAGGACAGGGACACCTCAGGTAATTAGGGCATTTTGGAGGACAGGGACAGCTCAGGTGATAAGGGCATTTTGGAGGACAAGGAGATCTCAGGTAATAAGGGCAGTTTGGAGGACAAGGACATCTCAGGTGATAAGGGCATCTTTGAGGACAACGACATCTCAGGAGCTAAGGGCATCTTGGAGGACAAGGGCATCTCAGGTGATAAGGGCATTTTGGAGGACAAGGACATCTCAGGTGATAAGGGCATCTTTGAGGACATAGACATCTCAGATAATAAGGGCATTTTGGAGGACAGGGACACCTCAGATAATAAGGTCATTTTCAACGACAAGTATATCTCAGGTGATAAGGGCATTTTGGAGGACAAGGACATCTTAGGTAATAGGGCATTTTGGAGGACAAGGATATCATAGGTGATAAGGGCATTTTGGAGGACAAGGACATCTCAGGTAATAAGGGCATTTTGGAGGACAGGGACATCTCAGGTAATTTGGGCATTTTGGAGGACAGGGACACCTCAGGTAATAAGGGCATTTTGGAGGACAAGGACATCTCAGGTAATAAGGGCATTTTGGAGGACAGGGACATCTCAGGTAATTTGGGCATTTTGGAGGACAGGGACACCTCAGGTAATAAGGGCATTTTGGAGGACAAGGACATCTCAGGTAATAAGGGCATATTTGAGGACAACGACATCTCAGGTGATAAGGGCAATTTTTGAGGACAAAGACATCTCAGGTAATTAGGGCATTTTGGAGGACAAAGACATCTTAGGTGATAAGGGAATTTTGGAGGACAAGGACATCTCAGGTGATAAGGGCATCTTTGAGGACATAGACATCTCAGGTAAAAAGGGCATTTTGGAGGACAGTGACACCTTAGGTAATAAGGTCATTTTCGAGGACAAGGACATCTCAGGTGCTAAGGCCATTTTGGAGGACAAGGACATCTTAGGTGATAAGGGCATTTTGGAGGACAAGGACATCTCAGGTGATAAGGGCATCTTTGAGGACATAGACATCTCAGGTAAAAAGGGCATTTTGGAGGACAGTGACAGCTCAGGTAATAATGTCATTTTGGAGGACAAGGACACCTCAGGTAATAAGGGCATTCAGGAGGACAAGGACACCTCAAGTGATAAGGGCATCTTTGAGGAGAAGGATAGCTCAGGTAATAAGGGCATTTTGGAGGACAGGGACACCTCAGGTAATAAGGGCATTTTGGAGGACAGCAACACATCTGGTAATAAGGGCACTTTGGAGGACAAGGATATCCCAGGTGATAAGGGCATTTTGGAGGACAAGGCCACCTCTGGTAATAAGGGTATTTTGGAGGACAAGGACATCTCAGGTAATAAGGGCATTTTGGAGGACAGGGACATCTCAGGTAATTTGGGCATTTTGGAGGACAGGGACACCTCAGGTAATAAGGGCATTTTGGAGGACAAGGACGTCTCAGGTAATAAGGGCATCTTTGAGGACAACGACATCTCAGGTGATAAGGGCAATTTTTGAGGACAAAGACATCTCAGGTAATTAGGGCATTTTGGAGGACAAAGACATCTTAGGTGATAAGGGCATTTTGGAGGACAAGGACATCTCAGGTGATATGGGCATCTTTGAGGACATAGACATCGCAGGTAAAAAGGGCATTTTGGAGGACAGTGACACCTCAGGTAATAAGGTCATTTTCGAGGACAAGGACATCTCAGGTGATAAGGACATTTTAGAGGACAAGGACATCTCAGGTAATAAGGGCATTTTGGAGGACAAGAACATCTCAGGTGCTAAGGCCATTTTGGAGGACAAGGATATCTCGGGTAATAAGGGCATTTTGGAGGACAAGGACATGTCAGGGAAATAGGGCATTTTGGAGGACAGGGACATCTCAGGTAATAAGGGCATTCAGGAGGACAAGGACATATCAGGTGATATGGGCATCTTTGAGGACAAGGGTATCTCAGGTAATAAGGACATTTTGGAGGACAAGGACACCTCAGGTAGTATGGGTATTTTGCAGAACAAGGACATATCAGGTAATAAGGGCATTTTGGAGGATAGGGACATCTCAGGTACTAAGGCATCTTGGAGGACAAGGACATCTAAGGTAATAAGGGCATTTTGAAGGACAAGGACATCTCAGGTAATAAGGGCATTTTGGAGGACAGGGACACCTCAGGTAAGAAGGGTATTTTGGAGGACAAGGACATCTGAGGTAATAATGGCATTTTGGAGGACAAGGATATGTCGGTAATATGGGCATCTTGGAGGACGAGGACATCTCATTTAATAAGGGCATTTTGGAGTACACGGATATCTCAGGTAATAAAGGCATCTTGGAGGACAAGGATATCTCAGGTGATAAGGGAATCTTTGAGGAGAAAGACATCTCAGGTAATGAGGGCATTTTGGAGGACAAGGTCAGATCAGGTAATAGGGCATTTTGGAGGACAAGGACATCTCAATTAATAAGGGCATTTTGTAGGACTAGGATATCTCAGGTTATAAAGGCATCTTGAATAACAAGGACACCTCAGGTAATAAGGGCATTTTGGAGGACAGGGACATCTCAGGTAATAAGGGCGTCTTGGAGGACAAAGATAACGATATCTCAGGTAATAAGGGATTTGTGCAGAACAAGGACATCTCAGGTAATAAGGGCATTTTGGAGGACAGGGACATCTCAGGGAATAAAGGCATCTTGGAGGACAAGGACACATCCTCAGGTAATAAGGGGCATTTTGGAGGACAGGGACACCTCAGGTAATAAGGGCATTTTGGAGGACAGGGACACCTCAGGTAACAAGGGCATTTTGGAGGACAAGGACACCTCAGGTAATAAGGGCATTTTGAAGGACAAGGATATGTCAGGTAATATGGGCATCTTGGAGGACGAGGACATCTCAGGTAATAATAAGGGCAGTTTGGAGACAGGGACACCTCAGGTAATAAGGTCATCTTGGAGGACAGGGACATCTCAGGTAATAAGGGCATTTTGGAAGACAAGGACATCTCAGGTAATAGGGCATTTTGGAGGACAGGGACACCTCAGGTGATAAGGACATTTTGGAGGACAAGGACACCTCAGGTAATAAGGGCATCTTGGAGGATAGGGACATCTCAGGTAATAAGGCATCTTGGAGGACAAGGACATCTAAGGTAATCCGGGCATTTTGAAGGACAAGGACACCTCAGGTAATAAGGGCATTTTGGAGGACAGGGACATCTCTCAGTCAATAAGGGCATCTTGGAGGACAAGGACATCTCAGGTAATAATAG